CACTGAAAATACAAATTAGCCGGGGGTGCGGGCAGGCCGCCTGTGAATCCCAGCTACTTGGGAGGCTGGAGGCAGGAGAATCGCTAGTGGGCACAGTGGAGGTTGCAGTGAGCTGGAGGATTGTGCCATTGCACTCAGCCTAGGCGACAGAGGAGACTCTGGTCTCAAAAAAACAAAAAAAAAAAAAGAAAACCACGCTCTTGTAGTAATATTATTTAGAAAACAGTGGGCCAGCCCTTACTTGCACTTGTGTACTAAGGGAGCGGGATTTTTTGCTTTATTATGGTTTCTAAAATAACTAGCAGCATCATGACCATCTGGGATTGTCTGGTCCCTGAAGTCTTGGTTGACTGAAACCAGATTAGTTGTTTTTTCCTAGACTTACTTTTCAGCAAATTACTACGGAAATATAAATAAGAGAGTTCCAGAATATTAGTTTCATTTTCATTTGGATATACTACATATAACTGACTTGTCAGTCTTTGTAAAGTTTAGAAAAAATTTCACTTGAAAATGGAAAGATGAAAAACGGTAGTTCAATACTCCATTGGCGTCAGTGAATGAACTCTTATACAGAAAGAGCCACATTAGTACAGCATTTACATAAGGTTTTTTTTGTTTTGATTTGGTTTTTTGAGATGGGGTCTGCTCTGTTGCCCGCGGCTGGAGTGCAGTGGCGTGAATCTGGCTCACTTGCAAGCTCCGCCTCCCAGGTTCTTGCCATTCTGCCCAGCTCACCGAGTAGCTGGGATACAGGCGCCCGCCCACCATGCCTGGGCTAATTTTTTGTATTTTTAGAGACTGGGGGTTTCACGTGTTAGCTTAGGAATAGTCTCGATCTGCTGACCTCAGTGAAGCCACGGCCTCGGCTCCTCAAAGTGCTGGGGGATTACGGGCGTGGCACGGCCTGGTTAACTATATTTAATGTAATTTTGAGGCTGAGTGTTCATTTCTTGGTTTTGGGTAATAGGTCTTGTGAGAGAAAAGATCTCAATAGGTTTTGATTCTGTTTGAAGTAATTTACACTTGAACTTTGAATGTGATCTTTGTTGACAGGTCAAGAAATTCATTGATCCTATTTATTCGAATATGGGAAGACATGGAGTGCTGAAGAGCTACAGGAATTCAAGAACCCCATGAAAGGTCAGTTTCGTGATTTATTCTGGCACACTCTCTCGGATCTTCTTTCTGGGTCCGGTCATCGTCACGATGTAAGCGGGGAAGTCGCTCTTGGGTTGTAATTCCGCACTTTACGGGGGGTCAGGCCAAGGAGGATTGCTTGAGGCCAGGCCTGGGCACACAGTGACACGCCTGTTTTACAAAAAATTTAAATTAGCTGGGTGTGGTGGTGCACACTGTAGTCCAGCTCCTCTGGAGGCTGAGGTGAGAGGTCAAGGCTGCAGGTGAGTGTTAAATGAGGCTCGGGCACTCCAGCTGGTGACATGAGCGAGACCTGTTTCTTTAAAAAGGCCACAGGCTGGGAACCGTTCTTTACTCCTTCTGCTTTATAAATTTTCCAAACCCAGGTTTTGTTTGTTGGAGTCAGTCGTTGATGGCTTTTTAGATACTTGGCTTAACGGGGATACTACATTACTGACATGTGAGAAGCAAAGGTTGATTAAATTAGCTGACCAAATTTAGATCATTTGTACCTTTGCGCATGCTCCACAAGTAACAACTCTCAGTTGGACCCATGTTAAATTGTCCAGCAGTTTCCATTGGTTTATAGATCTTTCATGGATGGGTGGCGAAAATGCAGGTTGCAACATACCCTCCAGGTCACATGAGGCGGAGCTGGACAGTTACGTTAGAGAGGGAAGTTAGAATTCCGTGATGAGGAATTTTGGCTGCCTCTGTTGCTTGGGAGCACATTTGTTTTTGCGTTAAAAGCAGCTTCAAGATGGCTTTTTTGTTGTTTTTAATAAGGGACCATTGGAAAGGTCATTTATCTTTTTCTTTATGTTTGCATTGTTGAGGGGCGTGTAATTTCATTCACATTGTGTTAGGTACGGAGAGCTCTAACACTGGGGCAGAATGACTCGTCATGTTTTCCTGTCCCATTGAGCTTCCAATCTGTTGGCAAGTCAGACTTTAAACAATGATTTCAACATATGATGAGCAGGTATGTGGGTATGTTTGGTAGAAGGAAGTGCTTCTCGGAGGGAGCTTTGTTCTGTTGTGTTTTGTTTGTTTTTTTAGAGCATGGTTTCCGCTGTGTTGCCAGGCTGGATTCGGCACTCTTGAACTGACAGCAGTCCTCCCACCTCCGCTCCTGGGTAGGCTAGGGCTAAGGCGACTGTGCCACGTGACACTGGCTTTTTTGAATTTTAAGCTACTTTTCTTCACCATCTTTACAGACGTAACACCTTCCTGAGGAAGGAATTGTTGAAAGCTTTTCAGTCAGCACTGATCTTACTGATGATTTCTGATGTTTCTACAGGAAATAGTGGAAGATGAAGATGATGACTTTCTGAAAGGTGAAGTGCCCCAGAATGATACCGTGATTGGGATCACACCGAGCTCCTTCGATGCACATTTCCGAAGTCCTTCAAGTAGTGTGGGCTCCCCACCCATGTTGTACATGCAACCCAGTCCACTCTGACCACAGAGATTTGTGACTGAGATGTGACATTTGGGATTCCCCATCACCCATCATGCCCTCAGCACCCAGCTCGTGCCATTGGGCATTGATGGCATTGAACTAGAACGAGTGCCTGCCTCGGCTGTGGCACTGCCAGGTTAGACGGAGTCAGGCATCTGAAGACTAGGTGGGTTTTTTTTTGTTCCCCTTACAGACAAAATGAAAAGACTGACTGTCATGTGCAATATTTTACAGTGGGGTTGATGATACATTTGGAAGGATTTGCTTGTTTTAATATGTACATTTTTTGTGTTAACAGCTTTTTGACACAGTTACTGGGTAATTTCTAATATAGGCAGCAGACTGTTTTCACGGGTCGCTGTTCTGACATGGGTTTTGTCAGGTCCGTGGTCCTGGGATTTTGCTGATCAGCTTTCAGTGAAGAATCCTCTAGGATAAAACTCCTATTTAAAGACTTTAACTAGAAAGTGTTTATTTTGGCTACATTGTTCACCTTCTGCTGTATTGGCATTTGTCTGTTGGGATTTCAAGGGAGTGTAGAGAAGATAGAAGGAAAGCCGAGAGCTGGCGCGACGTGGTCTGAGACACAGCGTTGGAGCTGGCACTGAAGGAGATCTCCAGGGACTTCAGAGACCAATAAAAGCCCATAGGGAAGAGAGAGAAGATTTAGGGAAACAGAATCAGACGTGTAATATCCTTGGCACAGCGAAAAAATGGATTTAAAAGACAAAAAATGGAGGTCCAGGTAGATGTAATTCACATGGACTGAAAGTGAGCCTGGGCTTGTGTAAAACACACGAGATTGTATTTGACCCCTTGGCTCTCAAGCGTCCCGTTAGATCTAGAAATGCTCCTTGGTAGCCATTAGATCGAGTCGGTTTTGATCTACATCAGTTGGTTATTGAGATTTCTTTGTTCAAACAGGAACATTTGTTTAGATTATTTGATGTTACGGTTTTGCTCACAACAGTAGGTGGAAGTTCCTAGTGCGGTGTTCATCTGATGGCTGTGCGCATCGTAGATTCGGCCTGGTGAAATCCTTCTCAAAGCCTCTTTTTGTATTTTTATGACTAAACAGAGGAAGTCTTCAGAAGACCTCGCTTTATAACAAATTTGTGCAAAACACTGCTAGAGTCATTTTGAAGCTCAAGCATTTTCACTTTGTTTCTTACATGTGTATTTTTGTTTACTGGTGAAAATGGCCATCTTTAAGCATATTTATTTTCTGCCACTTCTATTTATTTAAAGGCAAGCAATATTTTCTTGATCATATTTTGTAATGAAATACTTCCTGTTTCCCAGGGCTTTGTATGTACTTGTATAATTACATTGAGGGAAATGTAGAGTTTGAATTTCAGTCTGTAAATACTTTTTTGGAAAATAGAAATTTTTATTGCTTTAAAGTTTTGGATATGGGTGGTTTTCTTTTCGGGTCTTGGTAGAAAGTCATTTGAGAACGTTAAGGTTCTCTTTTTAACTGCTGGTAAAATGTGGATTTTTGTATGTTAGATAAAATGAGTAAATGAAATTCCCCAGAAATTAATAGTAAGTGGGGTCTTTGTGGGTTGGGAAGTAGTTTTAATGTAGAAAGACATTTACAGATAAGTCTGTTTAATTTCAAAGGAGTTTGTGAAAAAAAATCCATGGTGAAAATAAAACAATGACATGGTTAATCTGGAACTCCCATTCTTATACCAATAAAAGGAGGTACCTCAATACATGTTCTTTCAATTGCTGTGTTTTGTTTTTTTTTTTAATTTAATGTATGGAAGCATTTTGCAGTGGAAAACTCCTGAGACAATGCTGTTGAAGAGGGAGAAATTGTGCGGGTGTGGCAGGGAGCTCGATGAACTTCACTGGATGCCGGGCTGAGGATGGCTTCCATGTGCACCATATGAAGTATCCGCGACTCTCCCTAATCACACCCAGCCAAGAGTGATTGAGGCTTAAGCAGGTCCAAGGGAAGGAGACACTTCTTGCAAAAAGTTACAGGCTTTTGAAGGGACATCTATGGGGAAAAATACTGTAAAATCTCCTTATAAGTTACATGCCAACAATGGGAATTTTCCCTTTCACTAAAAAGCAAGCTGTCAGTTGTAGGCGTCTGTCAGTTGTAGCGTAGTTGTCTGTGTGCTCTGGTTTGGTCTTCCTTGATGAGAAGTGGCTGAATTTTTACAAGTCAACTTACCGATTGCCACGGGCTTCCTTTCCTAACCAGCTGTTTGACCTTGAGCAAGTTACCTAACCTCTCTGAGCGCTAATTAAACTGTAAAATGGGAATAAGATACTAGTGTAAGGCTTTAATAATTCGATTCATGTGCAATTTAATGGCCGTTGTTTTCTTGTAAGAAAGGAAGCATTTTCATGGGAAGCTTTTTTTGGTTAAAGGTAACTTCCGGCTGGGTGTGATGGCTCACACCTGTAATCCCAGCACTTTGGGAGGCCGAGGCGGGCGGATCACGAGGTCAGGAGCTTGAGACCATCCTCTGCTAAAAATAAAAAACATTAGCCGGGCGTGGTTGGCGAGTCCCCAGCTACTCGGGAGGCTGAGGCAGGAGAATGGCGTGAACGGTGGGAGGGGAGCTTGCAGTGAGCCGAGATCGCGCCACTGCACTCCAGCCTGGGCAACAGAGCCAGACTCGTGTCTCAAAAAAAAAAAAAAAATCCATTTCTTCCATAATGGTACCAACTTAGATCTGAACTGGAGAGGAGGAACCAGTGTGTTTCCCTTGCTAGGCGAGTGCTTATGATGGTGGTTCTTAACCCTGGGTATGCCCTAGAATCAATCCCTCAGGGGGCGTGCTGAGAAACTAAGGATGCCAGGCTCACATCACACACCAATTCAACCTCTGATTGATCAGTCTCCAGAAGAGGGATCTGGGACATGGATGGTTTTTAAAGCCCCTCTTGGTGATGTTGAAGGGCAGGCTGCCTGGAGAAGGGCTTACATTGTGTTTACAAACTGCAAGTGTTTTGGTCAACAATTGAACATCCAAAGCTCCACCATGTTTTCTTCCATCAAATTGCTTTCCTTTTGTGTGTTTCAGTCTGACTGGATCGTTGAGTTAGGATTATAATGTATGTAATAATTTTGGGGCCAGGTGTGGTAGCTCATGCCTGTAATCTGAGCAACTTGGAGAGGTGAGCAAAAGGATCTCTTGAAGCCAGGAGTTTGAGATTAGCCAGGGCAACATCATGAGAGCCCCATCTCTATGTTAAAAATTTTGAAAAACAAATTGAGATCCTTTCACTAAATATTTACATAAGGTTTCTATATAATGTTCCATCTTTTTTTTTTTTTTTTTGAGGACAGAGTCTCACTCTGTCACCCAGGCTGGAGTGCCAGTGTGTGCAATCACAGCTCAACTGCAACCTCCACCTCCTGGGTTCAAGTGATCCACCCCCTCAACCTCGCTGAGTAGCTGGGACTACAGGTACGCACCACCACACCTGGCTAATTTTTGTATCTTTAGGTAGAGATGGCATTTCACTATGTTGGCCAGGCTGGTCTTAAACTCCTGACCTCAAGCAATCTGTCCGCCTCGGCCTCCCCAAGTGCTGGGATTACAGGCGTGAGCCACCATGTCTGGCCTCAAAAAATTGTAATTTAAAAAATACTTCCCTGTATATATTCTTTGAACCTTGCCATCAGCCTTTTTGTGAGGTAGGCAGGTTGGTTTCCTATCTTGAAACAGGCTTTCCAACATTGTAATTAGTGCTTTCTTTTTCTTTTTTTTTTGTTTTTGAGACAGGGTCTTGCTCTAATCACCCAGGCAGGAGTGCAGTGGCGCAGTCGTGTCTGATTGCAGCCTTGACCCCTTGACCTCTCACGCTTGACTGATCCTCCTGAGTAGCTGGGACTACAGGCCCGCCACCATGCCCAGCTAATTTTTGTATTTGTTGGAGAGGCAGGGTTCCCTGTGTTGTCCAGCCTGGTCTCGAACTTCTGGGCTCAAATGAGTCCTTCGGCCTTTCAAAGTGCTGGGGTTACGGGCATGAGCCGCAGTGCCGGCTACACAGCTGCTATTGCTTCCTCATTGCCTGTAGACCAAAATTTGTGGAGCTGGGGTGGAAGAGAGGTAGGGAGTGGTTTCCTGCTTGTTATCTCGCTCATTTAGTCCTTTAGCGCAGGACTCAGCCTAGGAGATTGATAACCTGAGGTTACTTGAAAAAAGATCACCCAAAAGTGAAAAACCATTTAGGCAAATTGCATTAGCCCCAGGCAGAACCCATAGACCCTTGTTCTTCACCTTTGCACTTCCAAATGCCTCACTTTCATTGACTACTCTTTGCTCTGCAATTCCAATAATAGCTATCTTTAGAGTGTTTAGTATGTACCAGGTGAAACAAATATGCTATTCTACAAAACCAGTTCAGGGAAGTTAAGTAGCTTGCTCCAGGCCAGCCTGCTCGTCATTGATCATCCTGGATTCAAACCCTGTTTTTAGCTCCGATTTTCCTAGTTGGGACTTACTTCATGTCACCTGTGTTAGAATGAGTTGTTTACAGTCTAGGAGCATCTTATAGTGATGGAGAGCACTGCCTTTGGAATCATGCAAAGCTGGGTTCAGTCTTGGTGCTACTACTTATTTCTACCACTTTGAGCAAGTTACCGTATCTGTTATGACGGAGGTGTTGATAGTAGCGCCTGGATTTGTGAGGACAAATGACAAATGAGGTGTTGATAGTAGCTCCTACATTTGTGAGGATAAACGAGAAATGTAGGTGTAATAATACAGAGAAATAATTTCCTGGTAGCTAGAAATAGAGTTATTTTGGGTGGGGAGTTGGATAACCTGGCAATGGGAACACCCTCTTCTGCAGTCACTTCTTTACTGTAGTAAATTTCCTGGTATTTTTGTTGAATGGGGTGTGTTAGCTGAGGGGAGATTTATGAAAGACGATGAATACAGATGATACAATTCTAATGAAGTTTCTGCTCTATCATGTGGCTCCTCTGTAGCTTCTGTAAACTCACCACTGCATCTTTTGTAAAATTACTTTTTGTTCATGTGCTGCAGAGTCGGATGAATTTGAGCAGTATTTCCAGATTTGAGAAGAGAGCTCCACGGTGAGACGCCTCTCGCCTTGGGGACCAGTCCTCAGATTACGGACTGTGCAGTCAGTATCCGCAAATCCTTCCCCCACGATTCCCAGCCCACCTGTGAGTGGCCTATTGGATTCCAACCACGAAGTGTTATCGATGATCTCTTTAGTACATGGGGCTAGCACAGTTCAGCATATATTTTCCCAGTTTAAGACTCTTTACGTTTATTATTATTATTATTTTTAGAGACAGAGTCTCCCTCTGCAGTGCCCAAACAGCTCATTGCAGCCTCCCACTCCTGGGGTCAAGAGATCCTCCCGCCTCAGTCTACAGAGTGGCTGGGATTACAGGTGCATGCCACCATGCCCAGTTAATGTTTAAATTTTTGGCAGAGACGAGGGTATGGGGGAGGGTGGGTCTCGCTATGTTGCCCAGGCTGGTCTTGAACTCCCGGCCTCAAGCGATCCTCCTGCCTCGGCACCCCAAAGCTCTGGGATTACAGGCGTGAGCCACCGTGCCCGCCTGATTAGGTTTATTACTCATTGAATACAATCCTACGGAGCTGCACAGCAGGGTCCCAAACTCAAGCTTGTGGAAGGTCACACCTGGGAAGCGTGGAGCAATGACCTAAAGCGCAGTAGCCGGAGCCAGAACCCGTCCCGGGAACTCCCCCGGAGGCTCTCTTGGCTCGCACAGCTGCTCCCTGGCCGCTCCCCTTTCCCCGCCTCCTTCACTCCCACGCTTTTGGGACTACACTTCCCAGCGCCTCTTGCGGAGGAGGCGGGCCGCGGGCTGCTTCCGGGGCCGCTTCCTGGCTTTGGACTACATTTCCCGTGAGGCCTTGCGGCCCCGTCCTGGATTTCTCCAGACTCTTCGGCCAGCGCCGCCTTCTTCTGGACTCCACTTCCCGGCAGCGCCCGCGGCGGGGCGGGGCAGGACGAGGCGGGACGCGCGGCCCGAGGGGCGGGGGTGGCGGGCGGCCCGGGGCTGCGGGGGGGGGGGCCACCGCCTCCCTGGGCCTGCCTGGGCGACCGCCTCCGCGATGCCGCTGCTCGTCGAGGGGAGGCGAGTGCGGCTGCCGCAGTCCGCCGGGGACCTCGTCCGAGCCCACCCGCCTTTGGAGGTGAGCGGGGCGCGGCGCGGGGCTTCGGGGCGGGCCCGAGGGGAAGCTGCAGGGCGGGCGAGCGCCTTCCTCACCCCGCCGCCGCCCGTCTCACGCGACACAGACTTGAAACTTGGCGCTGTCGGCACATCCGGAGCCCTGGCTGTTGGCTCGCGCCTTCCCCTTGAGGGGTCCGGGAGCTTTTGCCTTCTTGAGACTTTAGCGGACTGCAGCGGAGGCCACTCTTTGACGGGGGAGGGGACGGGTGCCCAGAGAGGTTAGGTGACTTGCCCAAGGTCGCACAGCACTGCGGCTTGAGGACACGCCGGGACCCTTATTCCCAGACGGGGCGGCTGCAGCCCCCAGAGGGGCCGGTCCGTTTAGGCAAATCCGGCCGCCCGCCTTCGGGGACCGGCAGCCTGCGGTGAACCGTTGCCTCGTCCTTGCGTCCCCGTGAAGCAGGAGGTTATTCCAGGGCGGGCTTCGGAGAGCGTTTGGGCCGAGGGGTCTTGGCGGGGACCCCTATTCCTTCCTCCTCTCTCCCCTACCCCCGGGGCGTAGGGCGCCGAGTTATTTTTAGCC